TATGAGATACGTGAAGACCATAGCAATAGCAAGCTTGTGTACCAATATCTAAAATTGGCTAAAGCCACTCAATATTCATCTAAAATGTACGCTTAAAACTCAATCAAGGAGTTATCTAAATGTAATGTTGATACAAAATGTATTGCAAAGCCAATTTATTTTGGAAATAATGATTGCGATTAACCTTTACAAGGTGGCACAACATGAAATGGGATTAGAAAAATGTTATGTTATTTTGATCTTGGATCCCTTATTTGAAATGTTGTTTCGATGCTATTGTTGAGTTAGAGCAGCAGAACTATTAGCATTATTTGGCTCAAAGTGTCCTGCATAAAGAAAACAACAGGCACCCAAATATTGAGCCCTGTGGCACACCAGATGTGAAAACATCTAATCCACATTGATTAAGAGTTGGCATGTGTTAAGATTCACTTCACGCTAAAATGTGAACAGAAAAGACTATAGTTTGTTGACCATGTATCAAACACCTTCAATAATTATCCACCAAAATTGAACCACGTCTTTGTTCGTAACCTTGGGAAGTTTAAAAAGTGTCAGGACGACACATGAATGACCTTTCTCAATTTTGTTTTGCAAATTTTAAAGATGAAAGTTGCCTTTTGAAAAGGTGTTTTTATTATGAAGCCAATAAAGCCGGGGGATCAAAGGGTAAGGCTGAACATCTGGTCTCTTTTGAAGCCGTAGAAAGGCAGCAATTCACAACTGAGAAAAATGTTAAGTGTACATTTGGTACATCAATCCTCAGAACAAAGTGTATTAAATAAATAGAGCAATTATTATTATCAATAATCAGCAAGTGAACACGTGTGTGCAATCACTGCTGGTGCTTGTTTCTTAACAGTCTATTAATCATTTGTGGATGATTTTCTATTCCAGAAAGCCTACTTCTGCCTGATTTGTACGGCATAGCTGAATTCTAATGTGATTAATAGTTTGCATTGCAAATACAGCAACGATGGATTACTGATGTGATTTCTGAATATATTTCGACCCCTTCTCTGTGCCATGATTCTAACTGAAGCTCAGTTAACACACATACACTGGCCCACTCAAATGTCAAGCCACAATTGGCAAATATTAAGACTTAGTCACGAACAAGTCATCTTTAATCTACAATTAAAATCTTGGCTCTGTGAGCACTTTTACTTGCAGCATGGTTCTATCAATGGCAATATAGTTCTGGGTCTGGTTGGTCCACCGCTTTGGATTTTAATCGTCCATACTGACAAATCTCAACACCTATTAAGCATTTGCATGAAATGTTGTACGACTATTGTCTTTGGAGATACACTGACAATCTCCAATGTTTCTCCAATAAGGACTTTGGAAAATGACTGGAGATGGGACAGATGTGGGATCAGAAAAGGGAGTAGGTTATGTAAATAAATATTTCTCTAAATAAAAGATGGTACAGCAGTGGATGTTGTTTGTTTTTAGCTCATCCCTGTTACTCATGCCCAACTAAACGCCTCCTGGCAAAGTGTCAGAATTTGTTTGACATTTGGTTACATTCCTCCACAAATATTAGGTGGATTGTCCTTGTTCAAATTCATATCACCATCAAGATGATCTGTATGTTTTGTCAACATTTATTATTAGGATTTCATTTAATCCAATAGGCCTAATGTTAATCAAGAATGGCTTGGTCTTGTTCATTTAATTTAATTGAAAAAAATCTCCTCTATTATTTGTAATGTGCTTTTGCCTTTCAGCCCTTTTGTGAAGGATGTCTGGAATTAAGTATTGCTTGTTGGTCTTGATATGATGGGGCATGATCGTATATCACACAGAACTCTTGTTTGCCATCGTGGCCTGGCAATGCGCTGTGTACCATCAGTCAGACAAAATCAATATGCAGCCTGGCGGATGCAGCTGTGCATGTAAAAGATAATTATTTAACTTTGTTTGTTTTGACAAAGACTGCATCTCCCATATCGCTCAATATAAAATCAGCATTTAAGAATTTAAACTCCTATGCAGCATCGCACAGATTTATTTTTCTCTCTCTCTCTCTCTCTCTCTCTCTCTCTCTCTCTCTCTCTCTCTCTCTCTCTCTATACCTATATGATGTTGGGATTGTTGTTGTTTTCTCATTCTGGTCTGTATCATTATTTTCAGTTGGTCATCCAGCTAGAAAAACACAATCCTCCGAGTCCGGAGACATACCTGGCTTACATGAATGACATGCTTCCTTTGCTTTAAAATACATCTCTGAAAGCCCATACTTCCTGTTCGGTCCACAGCCATGAAATAATAATCACATTTATTTTAACAGTTTAGTCATGCACAGCAGACATGGAAAGAAAATTGGAACTGCACCAAAAAATGACACATTTAGGTGTTTTCACTGTGCCATCATGGCTCATGACAGGAGTGAATATAATACACTGGATTGACTTGTCATGTGTGTTTACCTCTGCAGTTTCAATTCAGTTCAAGACAGGAAGATCAATAAAGGGATAATAGACCGAACACAGTTTTGAGTTAATGCTCAGCGGACAACCTGCGTGTGTGTACCACATGCACGTTACATTTGTTTTATGGTACGCTCTATAAATTGCATTCATTGGATATGAAGTGACCATTTCCTTCTCTGGATGTAAACACTACCATTTGCTGAATCATCTAAAGGCAAGATATGACTTCAATGTGCTTTGGGAGAACATAGGGAATATAAGAAAAAAACCCATACAGGCAGCATTTGCTCTGGTGGTGATAAACATTCTCTGTGTGAGCCATCCCTTCATCCTTATCATCATACCTCATGAATTCCCACCACTTGTCTAAAATTGGACACCCTGGTGAGTCTGCCTACTGCAGCCCTTCCTCCCCCTCGCCTGCCTCCCTCTCCCTCAGCAGGGTAACCCACCGGGCAAATATAAACCTGTGTGTGATTCAATAATTAAAAGACAGGGATTATTCTCATTTAGGGGACGCACGGCTCTCTAGATGTTGGTTGCCATGGATTTCTCTCAAAAGCTTTTTTTGTATAATGGCACACCCACTTCTGATGTCATTGTTAGAGGAGGGGGAGAAGATGGAGTTGAGAGAGAGAGAGAGGGCAGAGGGAGGAGAGGAAGGAGGGAGGGATGGAGGGGAGGCAGCCTGTTGCTCATGATCATCAAACAACCTCCCGTACTCCACACGCATAGTGCCTGTGTTTGGATGGAGCAGGCGCTGAAAACACATTTCAGTTTTTTCTTCATGTGCATTCTTCTCTGTGCCTTCTGCAAAACTAACAGCTGCTCGGGAACTGAATCTGGAGCACAGTGAGTATTTGTATTTCTATCTTACAATACGTAGGCCTATATTGTACATTAAGACGCACACTCTAAGTGACACTTTGAGAGTTTGTCACATGCTGCGCAGCGTTTGTTTCCACAGAAGGAAGTTGGAAATGACAGGGCATTTTCTGCTGATGTCCTAAGGGTTGATATGAGAGAAATGGTTTGTTTATCATGTCTTTACTTAGTGCGTGTTACAGTAGATAACCACCTTCATGTCTATGGTTTTGTTTCCACTTAAAAACAAATCTGATCTATGCAAGCATGCAGTGCTTCTTACTCTGACAGTAAGAAGTGACCACTTTGGATTAAAAGTGGTATTACTTTAGTATTTAAACCTATCTTCAACATGTCACTAACATACATTTCTACGTAACATTAAGCTGTCTTTGGCTCTTTTTCTGCTGTAACAATGTACATTTCCCCTCTGTGGGACTAATAAAGGTATTCTGATTCTGATACGACAGTTATTTGCGGATGAATACCCTTACTCTACCATGGTAACAAGACGCTTCATTATGATCTGTCAACATTTACCGATATTTCATCGGAGAAAAGGTCCACTGCTGCAAAGACACATTTTCGCAACTATTCATTAATGCGGAGTTTAAACTAGCTGCAACTTAAAACAAAAATGTAAAAAGCACAGTTACTTTTCAATCTAAGAGCCACTTTAAGTCCTCAAACAGTGATTCAGTGCTGATGTTATGTTTCCGTAAGTGGTCATTTTCAGTACAGCACATGGTCTCTCTTTGAAGATTATGCCCCATAATGTGATTATAGTTCCACAACGCAAATGGCTCTTTCACTTTGGATCGGTGATATATGATACGTGATACTACATCATTCTCTCTCCCCCTCCAGGTAATTGTGACTGTAATGAGATTAACTAATGACTTTTTCCCGTTCTATCAGCGACCGGTCTGATTCTCCCCCACAAAGAAAGGGGCGGGAAACTAATTATAATCTGCTATTCCCAGGTGTCTCGAGGGAACCTGAGATACATATCATGAAGTGTCATTAAAACGGATCGAAGAGTCACCGTCACCAGCAACTCTATTTCCCAGGAGGAAAGCTACACACACATACCTTTGCTCAAGGCTCAGTCAACACCAATCGAGGGATGGGTGTGCTTTGAAAATGTAAGTAGGATCAAGTTTTCTTCGATTTGTCCGCATTCACAGGGTTTGCAAAAAATGTCCTCTCTCAACTGTGCTAAGGGTTTCATTTGACATGGTATTTTGTTTTCTGATTTTAAACACTATCATCTGCCATATCATGTGAAGACAAGACATGACTTCAATGGCCATTTGGAACAAAAGATCAGAAGCATTAAACAAAACATATGGCTCTCATTTCCTGTATGAGACATCCCTTCATCCCTATCATCAAACATCCCAACTTCTGTCACAGCGTTCTGCCAAGACATTGAGGCTGCATATTTGATGCATATTGTGTGTCCTTGGGCAAGACACTTCACCTGAACTTGCTCCTGTGGGTATTGTCCACAGTATCTGACCATTGCATGTATCATATATGTGTAATGTGTGTATATGTAAAGCGCTTTGAGTCATTGATAAAGCGCTATAATAAATGTAAGGAATTATTATTATTATTATTATTAATTAATTATTATTATATTTGATGCATATTTTGACGAGATTTCTTATCACTTTTTATCAATCCACTCCAAATTACAACTGTCACTTGCAGCTTTTCTCATATGGCATGGACTGTCATTTTCTGTGTCTAGAAGTCTATACTTTTCTGCACTCAACATCAACACTTCACGCATCAAGTGGACTCTTCATTCTTTCCAGCCATCAAACAAAGCCAGATTGTAACTCCTGTGTGGTTATTGGTCTGTTTCCATTATTCCATCTCATCAACTAAAGCACTTCGTCATTGTCAGTCTAATGGTGTGAAGAGTTTTCCATCCCCTGTCTTTGATCGGTCAGTGCCTGTATGTTTCTGTCACCTCATCCCGCAGAGATGTGCACTGAGTACCGCTGCAGAAAGCCTTTGAAACACTCGACCCAAAGTGACAGACAGTCTTCACAGTGATGAGGTGCCTGCACTCGCCCCGGCCTCAGCGCCACTTTTGTGATCAGCCTGTGAAAAATACATTCTATACATGATTTCAGCTCTGCAGAAAAAAAGAGCGTCAGAAGTGAAAATACACACAGACAATGCAGAGAACTTAATGTTATGCAATCTTTATATAATCAGCACATATGGTGAGTGTCCAATCATCCACTCAGGCAGGACACATTTAAATAAACCGGGAATAGTCGGTAAAGGTGGAAAGGGGATGGTGAGATGTTTTCTAGGTTTATTACATATAGTCAACAATAATTATTATGGTAGAGTTTGCTGGGGTTAGGAGGAGCAGTGCTGAGGCATAATGTGGAGCAGTGATGCAGATATGTTGGGATTTGCCCGGATGGCTCAGACTTTAGGGGGGATCTGTTGGGGTAGAATTCAACTGTCCACAGGAAATGACAGAGGTGTGATGCTTCTCATTTGCTCTTTGTTACGGAGACATTTATTTCAAAAGTTTGTCCTTTTTTAAGCATTTAAGGGGCCCTATTATGCTTTTTTCCTTTAGTGTGTTATATAGGTTTTAGTGCATGTAAATGGTCTGCAAAGGCTCAATTCCCAAAGTTCCCTCCCAAGTTTACCCCCCCCCCCCCCCTTGCCTGAAACGCCTCAATTGTAGTCCTTTGTTTACTTCAAAAACTTGACCTCACTCTGTAACACCTGTGCTGCTATTGGTTAGCGCTCCAACACACGTGTATAATATGGTTAGCTAAGGGGCGGGACTTCTCTAAACATTACATTACATTACATTACATTTAGCTGACGCTTTTATCCAAAGCGACTTACAATAAGTACATTCGACCAGGAAGACACAACCTTGAAGAAAACAGAATCATATAAGTACATCAGGTTTCATAGAGCCAAACATTTCAAGTGCTACTCAACTGGCTTTAGGTAAGCCAGTCCTTTATTAGTATAAAAGTGCTTCGTTAATCGTTCTAACGCTCGAAGTGGAGTCGAAAGAGATGAGTTTTCAGTTTGCGCCGGAAGATGTGCAAGCTATCTGCCGTCCTGATGTCAATGGGGAGCTCATTCCACCATCTTGGAGCCAGGATAGCAAACCCACGTGTTTTCGCCGATGGGAACTTGGGTCCCCCTCGCAGCGAGGGCGCAACGAGTCGTTTGGCTGATGCAGAGCGTAGTGCACGCGCTGGGGTGTACGGTTTAACCATGTCCTGGATGTAGGAAGGGCCAGATCCATTCGCAGCATGGTAAGCAAGTACCAGTGTCTTGAAGTGGATTCTAGCAGTTACCGGAAGCCAGTGAAGGGAGCGGATTGACCAATCTCAACAGAGCTGGCCAGCTCACCAATCAGAGCAGACTGGGCTCTGGTTTCAGACAGAGGGTGAAAAGAGGTGCAGTATGAGGAAAATAAAGACCTTATCAGAGCGTATGTTACATGTTACAGTAGGAGCACAACATATAAATATTAATCTGGAAATAAGCATAACAGGATCAATAAGATCATGCAGATATTTCAAGAAAAGGATAGCTGTTTTAGATGCACTGCACTTTTTAAGCACATGTGTGGGTTGAAGTTGAAATGGTTAAGAACACAAAATAAACATATTCATGCTAACATTGCTCATTATTTACATTTTGTTTGATATCCACAGCGTACTTCTCTGCCCCTCAGAAACGGAGAGCAGCGCAGTGTGGTGGACCACATAGAGTTAGGGAGACATTTACTGCCCCGGAGCGGTTTCTTCTTCCAGGGATTTCAGCATGCATTAATGTCGCCCACTAACAACACCACAAAAATACATTTATGTTTACAACTATTCCTGCTGGAATTACTGTAAGAAAATGGCTTTTGCCATAAAACAGCTTCGGGCAGGCCTGACCTTTTCTAGGTTCCTGAGGGAGAGAGAGAATGAGACAGAGAGGGGGCAACGTCTCTGTGGTTTCAAGTCCATTTCTGCTAAAACCATCCTCTAATAGTCCATTAGTGAACAGTGAGTTGTTAAGGGAACAGAAGGAGAAATGTTGTTAAAGTATATAAAGGGACATCGTGTGATCTGAATGGTCATTTAGCCTGCAGAGTACTGAAGCATCTCAGTAAAGAGCGTTCTTCTACAATCATGCGTTACTGCTATGTTCATTGAATATGGTTCTTAGGTTGTGTACACGGAAATTAAGACGGCGCTCTAACAAGCTGTCACCGGAAGGCTAACAGCTGGCAAATATGCTTCACTGTAATTGTGAGTCTCTGAGGTTCAGACTTTTCCTCTGAAATACTGATCAGCCGCTTAATTACCATGTGTTTGTGTTTCACAGACTGAATCGAGTTGAATTGCAAATCCTCCATTCAGAGAGAGATTGGAAAAATCTGTCCAATTCTGACTCTTTGCAAATTACACATCCCATGTAAATAGCAATGATTATTAATAAATGAACTATTCATTCTATATGCCACACTATAACAAAAAGCTAATATCCATATACTGTATATTTCTGCTGGAGCTGCTTCCTCTGAGACCGACTCTGGATAAGCGGTTGACGACGGATGGCTTATATCCATCTTGAATCCTAAATTATAACAATCCTTACTGATTCTACAAATTGCTCTGCAGACCAACAGCTTCAAAAGGCCTCAAAAATATTTGAAGCATCAACCTTGCAGTGCTCGGTATCATTATAGGGCTCATTAAATTAATTTCAATGAGTATTGGCGGTAGTGAAGCTCTCCAAAGACTCTCGAGGAGTGCACTGTGGGAAATGCATACTCAATGCAGTACGGCAACAGAGACTCGCAACCCTGTGAGTCACCAGGCAATCTGGAGAACATGCCCTGTGGCTTAGCTGTGATAACGCTGGCACAGAGAGAGGCCAGACCTTTGCCGATCTGGAGGGGGAGAACAGCCCTCGCTGTCTTTGCACTGCTTCATCTCTCCTTCCCAGATAGACTGCATCCCCCAGAGGAGACATCTGAGGCACAACAGAGCAGAGAAAAAACAACATGTTGAAAAAAATGCTCCTGCGACTGTACAGAGAGGCAAAAGCACAGTCGGTTTGAAGGCAAAGTGAGAAATCAAACAGCCTCAAGGGGTTAAGTGTGATTTAATCTAGACGGAGAGCAGGGGAGGCTTGAGCACATGAGCATTGGTGATGCATTGTGGGCGTTTCGATAACCTCCGCTGCATGCAGGAAGAATGTGAGAATCTACGGATTTGTAGCAGCAAAAAGGAGGGATTTTACACTGTTTGGATAAAAGATTTTCATGCTTGTGTTTTGGTTGTGATGGACAATTGTTGATTTGATGGACAATAACTGAACTCAAAATAGAATGTGCAGGTGTAAGGGTTTCCAAAAGAGACATATTCCTATCTAATAATGTCCAAAATCAGTTTGGGAGAGAAGATCTTGGGGTAGATTGCTTTAATTTCATGGGTGGAAAACGATGCTGACTGTAATCAGCGCTCACTGAGGCTGACAGTGCAGGTGCCTAATAAGCATTCAGTGACACATCCATGTACCGTTTTAGAAAGCGAGGCCTCCTTCCTGACCGAGAATAGGTGGTGCTGCAAATCAAGGCAGTGACATTTTAATTCCTGACTTGCTAACCGGCCTCCCCCTAAATTACTGTAATTGATTAAATTAGTTTGGACACAGGCCACAAGGTCCTCACTGCACTGGTGACAAACCCCCACAGTAAACATGTTCTCCTTCCTTCTCTCTCCTATTTTTAGATGTATTTACGATGTCTATCTCTTTTTTTTTCAAAAACATTGCAATGCCAAGAACAAACTATGAAAATATTGGTGAGTCAGAACACACCTTTTAGTGTATTAGAAAACCACACAATACAATAGATTTAAAGGGGCCCCACTATGCTCATCCTCAGGTTCTTATTTTCTACATCTACTGATACATGTCTCCATACTTTAATGTTCAAAAAGCTCTTTATTTGTCTCATACTGCCTCTGAAACCAGAGCCCAGTCTGCTCTGATTGGTTAGCTGGCCGGCTCTGTTGTGATTGGTCAACCGCTTAGAGATGTCCCGCCCCTTACCCTATCACGTACAATGTGTTGGAGTGCTAGCCAATAGAAGCGAGAGTGATTTAAACTTTAACGGACATGTTGACCGGCGGGAAAAAAATCGAACGGAAACTCTGCTGCACGGTCCCCTCGTCCCTTGGAAGAGGCGGAGAGGTGGGTGTTTTTCATCTGCTGGTGGACTACCGGAGAGATATACAACAGCAGGAGCAAACGCTTGCCTCGGGTAGGGAGAAAAAGAGCCAGAGCGTCCAACGCGGAGAATAAACAGAAGGGCAACCATGGCAACCATGGAAGTCTTCTTCGCTGCTTTTGTGGCAGGAGTACAGCGCCACTTACAGGCCCGGCATATGTACTACAGCGTCTCCAGCGCTTTCGAGCGGTCTCCTGTGAACGGACACGTTTCTGGTGCCTATTGCGTGTGGACGGAAGACTTTTTTGATATCGATTTCAGTCCGTTTGCGTTATCGTCCTCGTGTGGCTCCAGCCTAAAACAGACCCTCCTTATAGGAAGACATCAAAGGTTATTGACATTTCAATCATCATCATGTGAGGCCAGATGGTTTGCCTCATGGCACAACACTGTATGCTAAAACTCACACCCCACAAAGAACAATGGGATACACAGATAACCCCCAATCGTAAACTCCTTCCACTCATCCTCTCTTCCTGTAGTGTCATAAAACCCCCTTGCGAAGACATCTGTTATCACACATTTCCACGTATCAGCAGTTACATTACATTAGGATTACACTCTATTAAACTTTAATACCATATTTCATATTTGCCATAACACACAGGAAAGGAAATGCTCCAATGAGCATAATAGGGCCTCTTTAATGCTGGAAATACTCTGGAAATATCTACATGATTGTGAGTCAGAACACACCTAAACCAACACCTTTTAGTGTTTTTGAAAGCCGCCCAATGCAACAGAATTATAATACGTAACCAGACATTTTAGTGTTTAATTATAGCTTCCTCTGTGTCTGCACAAAACCGTTACATCAGTGAATTATCCAACAACAGTCAGGAGAACATCAGACACATTGTTTATCTCCAGGCTGCAGTGGGTAACAGCTGTTCGTGCAGACTGTAGGGACGAATAGTTTTCCCTGGTTGCCTGATGTACTTAGATCAGTGATCATGTGTAATTGCGCATAACTGACATGTTCATAGTGCTAAGATAATGGCACTTGGCATGTTTGTTTTTCTAATAAGATTGGGGGTTGTAGGTATTGAAGCTTAACTCAATTCAAGTCTGCGCACCCATGGGAGTGATATGTCTTAATTTTGTTTGGAGCACACCATCCTTGTTTTGACTCAACATTTGAAAACTATTTACAACCCTCTTGTTGACACTTAGTGATGTAATCTTTAGGACATGTTGGGAAATATGCTTGATAGCCTTCCTGACAAAAGTGACATGAGCAGTTAAATGGGCCCACATCTCTCATCAAACTACTTGTGTATGTCAAACCTTTCCTTCCACTTTTTGTCCATATAAACCAGTACATGGAGGCCTGTAGACTTCATTTTAGAAAAGGCTAAACTAGTTAGGTTATTTGTTTAAAAGAGGCCAAATTACGCTTTTTGGGGGTTTCCCTATCCTGTAGTGTGTTATAAAGGTTTTTCTGCATGTAAAGGGTCTACAAAGGCTAAAATCCCAAAGTTCCCTCCAGAGGAATTTTCACAAAATACAAATATGAACCTGTAAATGAGCATAAAAGAGCCGCTTTAAAAATCATCCTTTAGTTCCCATGGATCAGCACTGAATTTCCAGATCTATAATAATGTTTGTGTTATGATTGCACATCTTATTATTGTATAATTGTACCTTAAATCTGGCTTGATATGTGTTGTTAAGCCATTGAATAACCTTTGTTTACAATAAACACAGAAAGTTTTAATCACAGGAATAAGTTTAGTTTACCGCCATCACAATCTGTATGCAGTGATTTAATGCAAATGAAAGCCGAACTTACTACCTAAAAAGCTTTTACAGTGATATAGTATTACTATATTAATATGATAATATTGTTCCCCATAACAAATTGGACATGCTCTTTGTGGTGTAATATTTCAAGCAGGTTTCGTGTTTTCATTACATTTCTCCAGTGCGTGGGTTATGCAGAAATTGCATACACATTTCTTCATAAAATGACAAGTGGCTATTAGTATTAAAATGACAACAATCTAAGTGCCTTCTTCTGCAATAATGTGGGTTTGTGCAGTCTCGGCTTAAAGGTCCCATGGCATGGCCATTTCTACTGATCATAATTCCATTGTTGAGGCATAGCCTACTAAAATATTAGTATTCAGTGTTGGAGCCCCTGCACAATAAGTGTGGCTTGATATTGAGTAAGAAAAAGGTTTATAAACGCTGTGAGAATCGGTCTGCGGAGAGCATTACCAACCAGGGAGCTCTATGCAAGTCAATGGGGACTCCCTGTTAGTTGAACATGTACGCTAAATGTCCTGGTGTGTGAGGAGCTCCACGGATTGGTCCATTTTGGTTCCCGGAAGAAACAAATGGAAAAAGAGAAATTTCCAACGAGGCGTTCCGGGGCAGCATAGACAGGTCTTTTCTGTGTTAGAGTTTTACTCGCTACAGGGTGTACTTTGAGGGTTTGTGACTCTGCAGACCGTTAACATGCAGAAAAACCTTCATAACACACAAGGGGATGGGTGATAACCAGAAAAGCATGACACGGACCTTTAAAGGGTAACCACTGTAGATGTTTTAATGGTGTGATATTGAAGAAAACAGTGTCGGTATGACTCCAACATGAAGGGGAACGCCATCTATATTTAGATTTCCAATATGTTATTTCCAGCGCATGGCAAAGTTCAATCCATATTTGTGAACATGAGCTACTCTCTATCAATGCCAGAAAATGGAATGTCTAAAAGTATGAAGTCTGGAGCTGTTTGCCTAGAGAAAATGAATGGGAAACCACCAAGTTTTCTTTTCATACACAAATGTGCTTTATGCTATTGTATTGATCTCTGTTTGAAACCAAAAATAAACTATTATACTCATAACATTCCCTTGGTAGCTTGTATGGATCAAATTCATCCATACAGTTTTTCACAATCAATTTAATTCTCTAAGGACAATTCTCTGTTTGAATACTATTGTAGTACTTGGTTATTTAAAATGTTTGACTTATAGTGCTCTAGTTTTTAGATTTGGGAGAGAGATGTTTATGTTAGCCTGCAGTTTTTGTAATGTTTTAGACCGTAAGAATAACAGTGTGACTGTTGTACTTATTTATTTAATACAGACAAGAGACACAAAGGACACACCAGTGTTGATGAGATGCTGGTACCAACTAATAAAATAGCAATAACAGTAAAACAATCATAAAAAACAAGGATAAAAGTCAACAGGGTCCCTTCAAGTAATATTTCAGATAAATAAGTTGACAGTCCAATCCTTGTTTGTTTTTTTAAATGAGGCATGGTTTCCATTTAACTCCCACTGTCAAGTTGAGTTTAGGTAGACCACATCAAATCTGCTTCACTGTTTTTTATATTACTTTATGTGTAATCTGTTCCTTCTCTGTTTCCTGTGAAGGTGTGATGGTGTCAGATTGAGCCCCGGGATGTGAGTGGACCAGTAAACATGACCCTGTTGGCGGGCGATGGCTCCGACTACGACTATAGTGCCCTGAGCTGCGCCTCCGATTCCTCCTTCAACTGCCCTCCCCTTCACGAGGAGGAGGCCATAAAGGGAGCTTTCTACAAGAGGGCGAAGAAAGCCCCTGACCTCGGCTCCATCCACGAGGAAACTCTCCTGTCCAGCGCCCGAAAGCTCTACGCCATCATCAATGTGGGAGGCCTGCGCTACCAGCTGCCCTGGACCACGCTGGAGGACTTCCCCCTGTCCCGCCTGGGCCAGCTCCACCTCTGCAGCAGCTTCGACGAGATCATGTGCATCTGTGACGACTACGACGTCACTCACAATGAGTTCTTCTTCGACCGCAACCCCTGTGCCTTCAGGACCATCCTGACCTTCCTGCGGGCCGGGAAGCTGCGTTCCCTCAGGGAGATGTGCGCCCTTTCCTTCAGGGAGGAGCTGCTGTACTGGGGGGTTCCTGAGGAGAGCCTGGAGTGGTGCTGCAGGAGGCGTCTGCTGCAGCGACTGGAGGAGGTGGAGGCCATGGAGAGGGCGGAGGAGGAGGAGGAGCTCCTGGAGGACATGATGGAGACGGACAGTGGACACATGGAGCATGCAGCAGAGACCAGAGTCAACAGGTGCATGAGCCAACTCAGAGACATGGTGGAGAGGCCGCACTCAGGCCTGCCGGGGAAGATCTTCGCCTGTTTGTCCGTTCTGTTTGTCACCATCACTGCCGTCAACCTGTCCATCAGCACCATGCCCGCCATGAGGGAAGAGGAGGAGGCGGTGAGTAAGAGAATCACATCTACCTAGTGGTGTCACATGTTTAAAGGTCACCTATTGTGCAAAATCCACTTCTTCATGTCTCTTCTACATAAACATGTGTCCCCTCTGTGGAAAGAGATTCTGAAAGGTTCAGGAGAAAATATTCTCTCTCTTTTTGTCCTGATCCATTTCTATAAAAACCTGTCTGAAAATGAGCTGATCAGATTTTGGCCACTTTATGATGTCATAACGATGTTTTGTCTTGTGTAACCATTAGCCAATCACCAACCAAGGTAACCCCCCCCCACCTTATCACCTGAATCTCCTCCTAGAGCACCATTGTGTTCTTTGTAACCAGATATCTCTCAGAGGGGCGTGGGGAGGGGCTCCTTATTTTCATCTAAAGTAACAGACAGAGAATCAGCACTTTGGAAACAGAGCTGAAACAGAGGGGATTATGGGTAATGCTGCAATGATCTGTTGCACTTCAGAGACATGTTCTGTATATATCTGATACCTATAATATATTGATGAAAAACAGTATAATAGGGGACCTTTATCATTTATAATTTGGGGATAGATCAAACAAATCAATCAATCAAAATACTTTATTAATCCCAGGAGAAATGAGCTTTCCTGACACTTAAACCATATATAAAAAATAATGTGGTCCTCTGCTCGGAGGTTCGGACACACACACCCGCCTCAAATGCTTCCATTGGTCTCCTTTGTTTACTTCAGTAACAAAGTGACATCACTATGTAATTATTGCACTTCTATTGGCTATTACTTCAACATAGGCTAAGGGGCCGGACATCTCTAAGCGGTTGACCAATCAAGGAAGTTGGGTCAAACTTTGTAATATGATTAATCTGTGTAAATGTTTACGAGCGTCACATTAAAACCCCTTCATTTTAAATATCACGAAAAGTGTTTTCACATCAGTTAGGAAAACAATAAATGGAGACAGGACTCAACACAACTCCATTGTCTGTTGAGGATTTGTCTTTCAGGCATGAAAATAAATATTTGAACCCCATGCTGTGTTGGGATTGGCTTTGTCTGAGCTGTATTCAGAAGCTTAACTGAGGTTAATTGATGTGTAATTTTGAAAAGCAGTCATTAGAGAATCCTAATGATGGCATGTCCCAGCTGTCATGTCATTTAAAAAACCCTCGCAGCGAGAAAAGGGCGACTGCTGAGAGAGCAGGTTGTTCTGCCAGATTAGAGACAAATATTGAAAGAGCGTGCTTTTATTATTATGTTTCATTCCTAACCATAATTAGCACATAGCTGCATCAAAGGAAAATGGAATATTAGAGCCACACACATTTGATGAATTTATTCATTTAGATACTTTTGTAGAAAAAGCTCCTCTGGATGGAAGTGCAGAGCTGCCACCACTTTACTTTCTATTTCAAAAACATGTTTTAGTGGTTTTCAAATGTTCCACTTTCACTCCTTGTCAGGGAATCAAGTGTCGGTACTGCATGTGTGGTATAGTGTCAGTGGGCGGAAGGCAACACCAAATCTCAACGGTTTTTATTTGAGAGTTACTCCTAGCCACATTTCCTGATGCTGACTCAACATTAACATCCAGTAGGCCTGGTTTTACTGTTGTAGTGGGACTCTCTAAGTTTCATTTGGTCATAGGGCTTCTTTGGCTGCAATGCATTAACCAATAGAAGTGCAAGTGTTACATACAGTCAGTGGCGTTTTTATATGTACCAAAGTGGTGGGGCACAAACAACTTAGATGTGTATATAAGCTTCTGGTGCTTTTTTAAACACGTAAACAAATAGCTGTAGGCTATCCATGGTTCCGATAGAGAGAGAGAGGGGGGAGGCAAACACAAGACACTCATCACAGAGGTCACAATATAAATCGATCCAGCAGAGCAATAACACAGAAGATCAACAAAAGATTTTTACAGTACACGTTCATTTTAACAGCAGAGAGAGGGGCTTGCCCCACATCGCTCAACACGGCTCAATAGGCACACTGTAGACACTAATTAGAAGAACGCAGACTAAAACAGCAATGTACAGACGAATCAGATGACTAAGCATGATCTTAAAATATATTTTAACATGTATTTTTTTGCATATTTTGGGAATTATTATTTGCATTACTCACTGCTGACAATAGGTGGCGCTGCACCTTCCCCTTATGACGAGTCGCCACTGCGTACAGTAGTGATGTCATTATGTTACAGAAGTAAACAAAGGAGTCCAATGGAGGCGTTTCAGGTCCTTTGCGGACTATTTATATACACAAAAACCAGATATAATATAACACACTACAGGAAAGGGGAAACTCAAAAATGCATAATTGGGCTCATTTAATTTAACCTGCCTTGATTAGTATTCACACTTTAGCATTATCAATATGCAGTGGCGAACCGTCAGGGCCTTCAAGGTATTCAGAGAATACCCTGGAACACTCAGATAAAACAAACAACAAATCGATTTAATTATATAAATAAAATTTAATAAAATGTAATAAAAATGAATAAATGAGAATCGTATCTGTGTTGTTGATCTGTAATATTACAGTGTTACGTTGATTTGTTTGTCCTTCTCGGACCATGCACTACGCATTTCAGTGGGTTTGTGTTAGAAAAGAAAGCAACCAATCAGATCTTGTTCTGGGTCTCTGGGTAGAATATCCTTCAACCAAGGTATTCTACATCCTTGATAGAATGCCCTGGCCGTTGCACTGAATGAGAGCGTTTGGACTGACAGTTTGATCAACCAATCATATATTGATTTGTAGCCAATGGGCGTATTCTTTCAGAGTTTCCCTCGGTTCCAGGGTATTCTAGAAGGCCCGCTAGTTAACTGGCTCGAGACAGAGGATCTAGAATGCGACGAAGCAATTCATGCAGTTTTATTGTTTTTAACGTTGAAATGACAAGTGCAACAGGTGAAGATGAAGTTGTTGCGGAATTGTTGTGAGTACCCTTTTCAAGACGACAATTCAGTGAGAAGACGGACATTATAATGCCGCGGAGGGGGGCGGGGCGACGGGTCCAGTTGTGATAGACACGGTTCGCCACTGTCAATATGTTTTATTTGGCCTTTTTAATTAATAGTGCCAGTAATCACGTTCTAACAGCTCCTCTAATGTTTCGCAGCCAGACGGCAAAGTGTTGCATTCAAAGTGTGAGAACAGGTTTCCTGCCGTTATCAGGTGCTTGTACAAATCCACTCAAACCATGTCCTCCTCTGTGGGAGTTTCATAATCATGTTTTACCTCGATGTGCTCTGTACTTAAATATCTCAATGCCATTCTGTACTTTCTTTGAAATGCTTGGAAAATGTTCTGCCACATTTGAACAAGCATCGTTAGTCAGAAAAAAGGCAAAACTTTTAAGAAAGCTTAATCATAATTCATGAAAAATAACTGTTATGAGCATGAGGTCAAATGATCTATGTTTTTATGGCAAACCTGATATATTTAATCAAATGTACCAACTGAATACATTTAGCTAGAGAGAGCTGCTAAGGGGGAAAAACATGTATCGATTCTGTTCTTTGATTTATAAAAGGATTTACTTGAATAACAATTTTTTGAAGTGTAGGATCATTTTGAGCCTTTCAACATACACATTTTAACCCATATCCTTGGTGGGGAGACAGTACAGTATGAGCTTGTTCTCATTATCAACCACTTCCAATCATTGCATGATGAATTACATTGTTGTTGTGAAAAAAGAGAGCTAGGCAGTAAAGCAGGTTTTTTATCAGTTTCATATTTGATTACAATAGCAATGAAATAATCAGGAACCATATGTATTCTTTATTTTTACTAAACTGTGCCTTGTATGTTATTTTTGTTGAACATATTTGCCATGTATCCACTACAAGGACATGCCATAATACATATACAAATAATCAGTATTCAGAAATGGCTGGTTAGGAAGATGATTCACTTTGTGTGAAAGTGCTCATTGCTCCTGTGTTTCACAGAGCGGTGGTTCCCTCTAGTGACTGCAGCCTCCACTCACACATCCTGATCCTCACCATGCTCTCTCCACTGTCTCTCTCCACCAGGGAAAATGTTCCCAGATGTGCTACAACATCTTTATTGTGGAGACGGTGTGCGTGGCATGGTTCTCGCTGGAGTTCACCTTGCGCTTCATCCAGGACCGCAGCAAGCTGGTGTTCCTCCGGCACCCCCTGAACCTGATCGACGTGGTGGCCATCCTGCCCTACTACATCACCCTGGTGGTGGACAGCACCTCCAAAGGGGAGAAGAAGCTGGGCTCTGGGAACAGCTACCTGGACAAAGTGGGCTTGGTGCTGCGCGTCCTGAGGGCGCTGCGCATCCTGTACGTGATGCGGCTGGCGCGCCACTCTCTGGGCCTGCAGACTCTGGGGCTGACGGCCCGGCGCTGCACCCGGGAGTTTGGACTGCTGCTGCTCTTCCTGTGTGTGGCCATCGCACTGTACTCCCCCTTACTGTACTTGATTGAGAATGAAATGGCCGCAACGCAGGAGTTCACCAGCATCCCTGCGACCTACTGGTGGGCCGTCATCACCATGACCACAGTGGGGTACGGGGACATGGTGCCACGGAGCATCCCGGGACAGGTGGTGGCTCTGAGCAGCATCCTGAGCGGGATCCTCCTCATGGCGTTCCCCGTCACCTCCATCTTCCACACCTTCTCCAGGTCCTACGTGGAGCTGAAGCAGGAGCAGCAGAGGGTTCTGCAGCGGAGGACTCACTTCCTGCTGAGGGGCCGCATGGCCGGCCTCGGCAGCAACCGCTCCTTAGAGAATGACATGATGTTTCCTATAAGGTCGTCTGACAGGCACGACTGATTGAACAATTTAAACGTTGACTTTAATGTTACATGTCAACAGATTGCACATAATAGTATTAGGTTAGTTGAACACAATAATATTAAGTTTAAATTACAAATATTAAGTTCAAATATTAGGTTCAACTTAATATTATTGCTTTCAACTGACCTAATACAATTATGTGTAATCTGTTGATCTTTTAAATGTATTCAAATTCAACGTTTATATTTTCTGTGGATGGACAGGGAAGGACATACAACTGGGATTGGGATAGGAGAAGTCTGAGAAAGAGGAAAACAGAAGTGGGTAGAAAGGAATATAGATAGAAGGGAGGAAGGAGCAGTCTTTATAAACAAGATCCATAAAGGAAAAGGGTCATTTTTCTTCCTAATGCAGACATGCTGTGTAGCAGTGTACTTTTGGAGAGGATTGGAGTATTAAATAAATGTTTCTATCAAAAAATCTTCTAACATGGCCACATAATATCAAATAACAGTCCAATTTACAGAATAATAATAATACATTTTATTTGAGGGCGACTCTCACGACACCCACGCACAGCCTACAATAATAAACAACACTATACAACACTATAAACAGAAAAAACATTATAAACAGTACAGCATTTAAGAATACCATTGACTTATAGTGTCACAACAGTCCTATTTTGAAATGCATTGTAAATCAGACATGTGAAATATATATTTGAGATATAAAAGATAAGGTTTGGCTCACGTATGATCCAACAACATAGTGATGTTTTAATCTCTGATGTCTCCAGACGTTTCAATGGATTTAGTGGATTTGTTGATGTCATGTTCTCCTGGGAGTTCACCAGTGTCACGTAAAGGAAGATGCTTTCTGCTTCTGTTAAGTCCCAAAGGTTAAATACTCAAATGTGACCCCTTAATCCACTGATTATTTTCTGAATGACTGTGTAAACTCTGAGAATGTGTTATATAATGTTCTATATATTGCCCCGTCTGGCACTGCCAGCATCCACATATTAATTATGATGTATTAATTGTAACATTTCTCGGCTCACGAAGTTCCATATGCAGTTCTTAAAAAAGGTTTGGACATTGAAGATAGCATTGTCGTGCTTGTAATTACTGCAGTTGCTGTCCATAGCTGTTTATAATAATGACTTTGCTCCTTAAAGTGGATTTAAATGGAAATCTGTCTGTTATTGTCACTTCTTTATTTAATTTATTGTCCCAGAGGGAAATAATGGTTTTCAGTGAGAGGATGAAATTGAGCACAATTAAAAAACAACTGATAAAGACATGGTTCACATTTGGAAGACGCTCAGAAAATCCCAAGCGAAAACAGTGGGAGAAAGTAAATACAATTTAAAAGGACTTATTTGTTTCCATGCTTGATACTATATACTTCAAATTCAAATATTGCACTTTTTATTCAGTTAATTGTTTACATTTAAACTCAGATTAAGGTTTAAACCACTCAAATGTATATGAGAGAGAGAGGTAACCAATGGCTTTGATTACTTGAGCATCCTGTGCATAACCATATTCTGTAGTAAGGTGCATAAATCAAAAAAGGTCACATTTTCGTAACATAATTGTCCTTCGGTGAAGACCTTTACCTTAAACGAAAGATTCCTAACATAGAATAGATGTAGTGTAATGGAACACAAAATGAAAAGTCATTCTCTACATCGTCAATATCAATAAAAAATGTAATCAATAAACAGGTCTGCCATAACACCTGCTAACCTCTAGTAAACTATACGTCCTTAACTTTATATTTTAAAAGAAATGAATGAAAGAAATAAAAAAACTGGCAAAGGGCATTCTTCTGATTGATGAATATTTGTATTTTTAATCCAAACAAGAGGTATAATTCTGTATTTTCAATGCAGGTAAAAAGTCTTCTGCAACTACTGACAGCAATAAACAGTCAGTATCAACCTGTAGTGCTCATGCATGGAAATAATCCCACTTAAAAAAACAGATGTATTCACATTTACAAAAAGTCAATACTTCAAAATCATAAGGCCACACACACGACACTTTGCAGCACTGTAGTATTGCTATAATAGTGTTTTATGTAAAAAGTTGGCAAAGGTGTTTTGACCTTCTGATCCTGCAGCTCATGTTTTAGATGTGTTTCCTCATTTGGACATAGGGTGGCAGCATTGTGTCACAAAAATGCAAGGAGGCTTACAATACAATAAACATTTTTTTCGCCACACAATTATAGAAAACGTGTTACATGTGTACTGCTTCGCGCCTAATTTCAACCAATCTTAACTATCCTTCATTATGGCTGCACACAATACATGCCTCACATTTATATTCAGCACTTTGACACAAGAAAGAGCTTTTCCTTATAGCTCAAAACATATATATTATGTGAAGCTGACTCATACATTTCAAAATCACAGCCTATAATAAAAAACCCTCCACCAAACTGAGCCAGGTTTCAACCTGCAGCCTCAGGTGAGCGGGGGACTTCCATGTAACACCATTCTCCCAAATCCAGTACTCCACAGTGCATACAACCATCTGACCAACTAGAGCCTGGCAATCCGCAGAAGCCCCGCCCCCTTCTGCCTCTAAAATCACCTCCCAGTGTTTTGGTCCTGATTTGGCGTTGCTTCCTGCACACAGACCGACAGTCGGGGGGGAAAGCCAGCTTTACACATGCACTCGGGTGTTTTTCTGATCTATATGTGAATGGAAGATGTTTTCCCAGCAGAGGAGCCTCTCCCCGCCATGACCTACCCGGCCCGCCCCTCCACTTGAATGGGATTCCTGTCGCTCGCTTTTGGCACCGACTGTCACTGCTGCTGCTCCAGATACAAGACCTCTGATTTTTTTTGTTGGGTTCTTTGAGATTTTGGGTTTTCTCTTATCAGATCATTAATGGTTTGATACGAAATCTGCAAGTGTGATCGGGGAGAAGAGCGACGACGCCAGATCTCCAGTATCCTGCGGTTCAGGGTGAGTAGCTGTAAACTTGTTATTTTAGTGCGGGTGACTTCAATAATGACAGGCAGGACAGACAGGGTCTCATTCAAAATGAATGAAGGGTTTGATCTCAACAGGACTGCAGATGTTGTTTGGAGATAGTCATCACTTTACCCTCCTTTTTAGACTAAAATGTCTTATCTATTATGACCTAAATTATCACCAAAATCTTGCACTGTGATATTCCAATATGTTGTTTTGCTAGTAATGATCACACACTGTCATTTTCCCACTTTGTGATTAATCATAAATCACTTAAACCAGCAACTATATTGTCTGAGAGTAAGAGTGACTCATCAGAGATTTTGTGTGTTTTTTAACACAAGCTGCAGCCTTTGATTTAGGCCACATACTGCCTCTGTTCTGCAGCACTTTTAGGAACATTAAGAGCTTAATCACACAGCACTCTTTCCCCTTTCATAATCCTCAGTTTTTAAGAGGAATGGCTCCCTGTGTGGAAGCCTTCACGAGACATTCTGAAAGCTGGCAGCTGCAGAGTTTTACGAGCTACCTGCTGTTTTATGTGTGAGTGATATGAACAAGACATATTGTGTATCATTTTGAACCAGACTTGCTTTTAATCATTTGCTAGTGACTAGGTCACTCAGAATGCCACATATTTCCTTTCCTCAGGATCCCACACACTTAAGAAATGGCTGTCGTATGCTTGGGATTAGTCTCTCCCACTCAACATGACGCAAAGGCCCAAATATTGACTCTAATGTGGTGGAGACTAATAATAGAAGGTTTGCATTGAAATCACAGTCTGTAATTGATGTCCTTGAACATGTCGATAAAGTATTTCCAAATGGTCTGTGAGTGTGACATGACCCCGTGTATACTGTACACATCAGTCCAGCTCATGGGATAACTTTTGGGATACAATTGACCCTGGTTTTAACTAGAGTTACTGTCTGACGTTTGTTCAAGACTTCACTCTTTTTTAACATTGGCTGTTACAACAGTGCACTGGTGAAATGAAACTGAGTACATTGATTCAAGTATTTGAGCTACTTCCTTTTCCTGCCACTCTATGCTTCTACCCAACTACAACTCAAAGGGAAAACATTTTACTCTACTACATTTAACTTAACTCTGCTCTTCAGGTTTCATATCAGTATGTAGTGTCTCTACTGAGACATGTCTCCATGCGTTGATGATGAAAAAGCTCTTTATTTTCCTCATACTGCCTGTGCTGCAGCACCTCTTATCACCCTCTGTCTGAAACCAGAGCGCAGTCTGCTCTGATTGGTTAGCTGGCGTCTCTGTTGTGATTAGTCAACCACTGTCCCGCCCCTAATCCTATCATGGAAAATGTGTTGGCCAATAGAAGCGCCTATACGGAATAAACAAAGGAGTGCAGGTGGTTCAGGCAGGGGGGAACTTTGGATTGTAGCCTTCACAGACCATTGACCTGTTTACCACACTACAGGAAAGGGAAAACCCCCAAAAGCATGGAAGGGCCCTATTACAACTTTGTTTACATTTATAATTCAGATTTTTTTATTAAAAAAAACGAGAGTTTAAAAAAGACGATGTTTCGTTATGAATGAAATTAGTCAGTTCTTGATATTGAAAGAAAAAGGATTGGCATTTGTACACATTTAGGTTTTAATTCATTTATTTAGAACAGATTTAGTACATTTTGCAATTTGTACTTACTTATTTTTACAACTAACCCTAACCCCTAGAGTAAAGGACCTGATTACTTTCTCCAACACTGAGCAGTGGACATGTAACACAGCTTTGTGCTCTTGGCACACACTTGAACCTGCTGTGCCACTAGTGCCATGTGTTGTCACGGCTTTATAATATTGTGTATAAACCTGCTGAGGACTCCAGCTTGTTGTGTAATCCTTTCTGAATCAGAAGCATATCACAAGAAACATATTCCGGAGGCACCAATATACATAAGTTAATGAAAATAAAATCGCTATTGCATTTATTAGCAGTGGTGCATTAGAACAATCCTCCACAGATTTCCCTTGTTTGTATTCTTTTAGTTTTTTGCTGGAGGAATTATGATGTTTGGCAGCGGGCAGGCAAACACATATTATATCCCCAGATGGATTCAATATCCTTAAAATGTGTATCAGGCCAATGACATGCAAACTGATGCTGGGGATGAAGCCCTGTTGCGTAAAAACACCCAAGGGTACACTTGGCTTTTGCTTTCTGTTCGTTTTTTTTGCGCTTTTCCTGCTAAATTCACACCTCTAACATGGTCACTAAGGGACACATGGGTCGTGATGGGCTTTTCTAACAAGCCAAGATGACATTTTTAAGCATGCATTCTGGACAAGTGCAACCTGTGAGTGAGATGTGTTTCACAAAGTGGTACGAGATGGTGCTTTCTAACGGCCTGCTTTCTAACGGCCAGCTTCCAGGCTCCGCTGAGGGGACCTAAAGCTCCTTGGAATCCCATGAATGCTCTCCAGTGAAGCCGTAGATGTTTATGTCAGCTCCAATGCGATTGGTGGAAAGTGGCTCTTGAGGCCGAAATTCCTGCTAATTGGCAACGCGTCTGTGGACTGGCTTCCTTTGTTCCCCCTTATACTGGAGTGGTCTGTCAGTCAGGGTGATACACTGGGCCTGGCATCAATGAACTTCTTGTTTCCGCAGCTTTCCGGCCCTGGAGGATCGGCGGCTTCAAGACAAGTCGCTTCCACTTGGGAAAATTGCCTTTTGTGCACCTATTCAGAAAGATGGAAAGGAACCGTTTAAGTTGAGTCTATGGAGAGTTTTTCAAGCATCCCAGCTAAAGTGCTTTAAAAGTGATGTGTGTGTTTTCCTCTGCACTGAAGTGAACTGAGCAGCGGCATTTAACAGACTCTGCTGTAGCTGGTGGTTTGCTGATTTTATCATTTGATCTAGTGAGTGGCCCACTTTCCTTTAGGTCGGATGAGGATTCATTGGAAATGAGGACATATTGTATTTTTTAGCGATACAATAAAGAAAAACTAGCTTATTGGCCAGAGGATAACAAAATAAAATAAACTGCAGGACAGAAAATGAACAAGTCAGGGCTCTAGTAGTAGCACTTTGCCTCTTCTTTGTTGAAACAACACATTATCCCCCTTTGGCTTTGGAGTACTTGACATGTGTGAATGTTGACAATACCCTGACATTTAGTGACCATATCCGTCGGGCAAGTAACAAAGCGAATGGTATCCTAGCAATGATCC